CCTATTTCTAATTGTTTTGAGGAACTGCAATATCGTTTTCCACAGCAACCATTCTATTTCCGTTTTCAACAACACACGGGGTTTGCATTTTCTCTGCATACTTGCCAGCACAGGTTACTTTTTCTTCTTGATGGCAGATACCCTGACAGTGTGAGGTGCTGTCTTCTCGTGTCTTGATCTGCATTTCCCTAATGACCAGCAGTGCTGAGCATCTGTCCTGTGCTTACTGACTGTTTGTGTATCCTCTTAGGAGAAGTGTCTATTCAAGTCCTTTGCTCACTTTTAAATTCAATTGTTTTTTGTTGTTGTTTTAGGAGTTCTCTATATATTCTGATAGTAATCCCTTATCAGAGCCATGATTTACAAATATTTTCTCCCATTCTGTGGGTTGCCTTTTTTCTCCTTTGGTACATTTTTATTTTTCATGAAGTCCAATGTGTCTATATTTTCCTTTTTTCTTTTCTTTTTTTGTTTTTATTTTTGTTTTTTTGAGACAGTGTCTCACTCTCTTACCCATGCTAGAATACTGTGGCATGATCATAGCTCACTGCAGCCTCAAACTCTTGGGCTTAAGTTATCTTCCTGCCTCAACTTCCCGAGAAGCTGGGACTACAGGTGCACACAACCATACTGGACTAATTTTTCTTCTTTTTTAGAGGTAGGGTCTCACTCTTCTGCCCAAGCTGGTCTTAGCTCCTGAGCTCAAGCAATCCTACCTCAGCCTTCCAAAGTGCTGGGATTACAGGTATGAGCCACAGTGCCCAACACCTATTTTTTTATTTTTTTGCCTGTGCCTTTACATCCAATTTTAATATATCAAGAATTTCTACTTCTAAGCTCTTTTACTCCCATTCTTTTCCTGGTCGATAAATGACAGGACCAGACATGGCTCAGATGTCGAGGAATTATTTCTGAGTCTTCCCTTTCCTCCCTGTAACCAATACAGGGATTCCTATCATTTCTTCCTCCTAAGTGTCTCTCAAATCCTTCTCCTCATCTCCACATTTCTTCAGTGCAGGGATGAAGTACAATTGATTTGTGCGTATTCACTTTTCATCCAAACCAGTCTCCCTTATTAGTGCCAGGAGCCTTTTGTTTTGTTTTTTGTAGTTTCTCTGAGATTTTCTGTGGACAGTCATGTTATCTGGGAAAAGGCAGCTTTATTCCTTCCTGCCTTTCCATCTATACATCTTGTCACTCTTGTCTGCTGCACTGGTCAGGACTTCCAGCGTAACATTCAGTAAAGGTGGCGAGAGCCGACCCCTGCTTGCCCCGACCCTAGAGGGAAGGCAGTCTTTAACTGTTAAGTATGATGTTACACGGTTCTTATAGGTGTCATGTGTCCAGTTAAGGATGTTTATTTCTCTTCCTAGTTTGTGACAAGATTTTATTAGACAACGCATTTAAAGCTATTTGGAAACCAACCAAGATACTAATGTTTGCCTTAATGACTATTGACAAAAATAAATCATGCATTTCATGATGCCACTAATCCAAACAAGAATTTTGTGTCAGCTTGGCGCCTATGGCTCAACTGGCTAAGGCGCCAGCCACATACACCTGAGCTGGTGGGCTCGAATCCAGCCTGAACCCACCAAACAACAATGACGGCTGCAACCAAAAAATAGCCGGGCGTTGTGGCGGGCGCCTGTGGTCCCAGCTACTTGGGAGGCTGAGGCAGGAGAGTTGCTTGAGTCTAGGAGTTGGAGGTTGCTGTGAGCTGTGATGCCACGGCACTCTACCCAGGGGGACAGCTTGAGGCTCTGTCTCAAAAAAAAAAAAAAGGAATTTTGTGTCATTATAATGCTTTTTAACCTCCTAGTTTTATTTTAAGTGACAGCATATTCTAAATTAAAAAAAAATGTTTTGTACACCTCACAGCTTTCTGTGTGTCCTTGTCTTTCCGTCTGACGTTCCCTCATGGTGGGGGCAGGTATCTGTGGACCTCGGGGTCCCTGTTCCCTCTGTACTCACTCCCAGCAGATGCTTCTCTGCCTTGGAGACCTGCCCAAAATAGCCCTTCTCTTGCCGTCTCCCAGATCATTTCTTACAGTTTTTCAGTATTTTCTCCCTTTCCCTATCCTCCTTCCCATTCTCTCCTTAGATACATCTTTTGTGTTAAGGCCAGGGCCCTGTTTGAGTCACTAGAAACTAAGGGAGGCCCTGTGTCCTCAGCCCGGTGTCTGTTTTTTCTGTTCACGGTGCTGGCGAGGTCTGGCTCTTTGCTCAGGGCTCTCAGCACACTTGCTCCAATACTTTGAGACTATTTCTTAGAAGCTCTGTTAAGATGTGCTATGAGCTCTGTTAATATGAGGGTGTTATTGGTATTCTGGCCCTAAAGAGATTCTGATATACACAAGTGAAAGTTTGTTAAACATAATACAAATGTTTTCATTAAACTTGGCTTTTTATAATCCTAGAATTTGTACTTTACTTCAAAATTCTTAACTGAAAAGTATTTATATCCCTGGGGAATGTTTTCATTCCTTCAGAAATGACTTACTGATTAGATGCACACACAGAGTAAATCATTAATACAAATGTAAGAATTTAGTACATTTGAGGGGGAATACAGAGAGAAGACAGCGGACATTTTTGCAAACTTGTTTGTACCAGACTCTGGACGTCATTATTCTGTTCTGAATCCATACGGCCACTCCTGGGGTGGGGAGTTATCCTCTCCACTAAACACATGACGACACTAAGGCTGAGAACAACCCAAGGCCACTCAGCTTGTGCGGGGCAACAGCCACAGACCAGGCCCAGGTCACAGTTGTAACTCCATCGAGAGTCTAGAAAGTACTGGAAAAGCTAACCAAGGGGGAAGCTCATCTTTTGATTGGAGCGATGTGGGGAAGATGGGCTTCATGACAACAGGTTATTGGGGGATATTTGTGACTTCCCCCGAGTCAGCGTGCCCAGACATTTGAAAGCAAACGTCCCATCGCAGCGCCTAACTCCTGGTCTTCACTGAGGGTTTCTTTGTCGACAAGGTCCCCTTCCCATGGTTTGCGTAAGCTTTTCTTTTGAAGTGCTCATTCTTAATTTTTCTGGCTGTGGTCGTGAACTACTTACACACTCTCTATATATGTCTTGGTTAGTATGTGAAGGGCCATGGTAAATGCCCTTTGAAAATCAAGAACAGGGAATGTTCTGTACCCCAGTGTATTCTGAAGTTCTTATCCTGTGGGCCAGGGAAGCTAAGAGAAGGGCCCCTGGGAGCTGTTACCTTCGTTTGCAGCCAGGATACTGTACGTAATGAGAGGCAGGACCCTGAGAACACCACCGAGTTTATTCATTTATTTTTAAAACTGTAAGGGGTTTAAGATGCAACCTAGTCAGAGCCTGTGAGCAGATGCACAAGCTGGTGTTCCTTTAGGTATACTCCCCAAGTCAGGCCAGACCACGTCCAACCACTGCTTCAAGTGCACGTCACTCCTGGGCCTTCTGGGACCACTGAGTTTAGATCCTGACTTCTCCACAGGTTGTCCAGGTAACATGAGTTAGTTAATACACACAGCTCTGACAGCAGTGCCTGGCCATCACCGGTGTGGGTAAGTGCTAGCTATGATTGAATAAAAAAAAAGTCAACCTGAATAGAAAGAAGAGAAAGTAAGGGGTGGCCTCTGATGGCTCATGCCTGTAAGCCTAGCTCTCTGGGAGGCCAAGGCGTGTGGATTGCTTGAGCTCATAAGTTCAAGACCAGTTTGAGCAAGAGCAAGACTCAGTCTCTACTAAAAGTAAAAAAACTGGCTGGGTGTTGTGCGGGTGCTGATAGTCCCAGCTACTTGGGCGACTGATGCAAGGGATGGCTCTCTTGAGCCCAAGAGTTTGAGGTTGCTGTGAGCTGTGACACCATGGCACTCTAGCCAGTCTGTCTCAAAAAAGAAAACCTGGTAAGGAAAGTAGGGACAGATTAGCCTCAGTCCACAGAGGCCCTGTGAGAGGGGCTCCCATGTTCAGAGCCATAAAGGATCTATCTTCCCTAAACTGGCGTGTCTGTGTCCATGGGGAAAGAACTAACCAACAGAGTCTTAAAATGACACAGGATGACACAGGTCAAGATGGATGCCTGCAGTCTGAGTTCATCTAAGGAAGCAACATCAATCAGTGGAATCTGCCAACCAGTTGTGCCAGGGGTGGCCCTAACCGGCCACAAGGCAAACACTGACTGTCGGCAAAACCCCAGCAGCTACATGAGAAGAGGAAAGGGAGGGAGAGAAGGAGGAAGGAAGGAAATAAATGAATGAGTAGACGTCCCCTTCACTCTCCACTGCTGTTTCCCAGATTTAACCAACGTTAACAGTTTCCTTTGAATCTTCGGAAAAGTTCTATTCATAATACGTGAATGTATGTAAGACTTTAAAAAAATTATATGTGATTTCATTCCTCCGTGCCTTCTGTTTTTATTTAATGCAGTAGAACCTCCATAGTTGACCACCCCCTAACTGACCACCTCCTTAAGTTGACCTGATTTTCCTAGACTAGACATGCATCTCGTGTGCGTATCAGTACAGCAGGCCTTGTTCCTCGTATTGGCCACCTCTGAATGTAGACCCGTTTGTTACATTCCTTGAATGGTCAGTTTACAGAGGTTTTACTCTATATATTAAAGATTTCCCATAGCATCGATGTAGAGCACTTCTCTCTTATCCTTTTAGTCACTTATTTTATTAGGCTTTAAATAAAAACATTTTAGTTACCTATTAGAATTCTGAACTCACAGTGTAACTAAAAGTAGATGACATGAAACTTTTCAGAATTACAAGAAGAGATAGATTGATACACGATTACAGTGACAACCTAACGACTTCTCTCAGACTAATACAGATCAACAGACCAAAAGCAGAGAAGAATGATAGAGGAGATTTGAGCCACACGGGTAATGAATTTGGCTGAGTAGAAATACGCAGTCAGTTTACAGAACTCAATATTCGACAAGTAGAAAATGCGTGTTCTTTGTAAGCTCACGGGGGAGATTCAGAGACCCTGGCACATACCTGGCTGTGAAAGAAATCTCGGTAACAGGAGTCTCCTGGTAGTCATCATTTCTGAACGGGTTTCGTCTCGTTTCTCAGTTTCTTTCCTGAATTCTATCAGTTCCTGTTTCACCACTGTCTAAACTCGGAGCGTCCTTGTTTCTGCCTTCAGGTCTTCATGAGCGGTAATTGCTTTGTAAGGACTTTTTTGCTTTCTTTTTAATCCGTGCTGGTGTGTTGGGTACAACGTCCACCTGCTCACACAGCAGTTTTCAGGTGCGTTTTCAGCCTCCCTCGGGAAGCTGAGCAGCTTTTTCCTCATTTTTCTTATGCTATCTTTGCCTGGTACCAGGCACATTCCTCAGGACTCATGTGGTCCTGGACGTACCTCCTTATGTAACCCTCTGCTTTCTTTCTTTTCTTTTTTTTTTTTTTTT